ATTCAGCTAATGTAAATTTCTTACTGATATCAAAAAAAAAAAAAAATGATATGAAATTTCCTGAATTCCTGATTTCCTTCAAAAATTGTTTGATGTTTGTTTTGTTAACTTTTTACGGATTATTAACATACATAATTTGCAGCAATTTGTCATCTCTACCTCCAGCACTCTCAATTTTCAATTATTCTACAACTGATTGTAAATTTTACCGGAATAGTTTGCCGGAATACAGATCGATTAGTTTATTCTAGCAAAATTAAGTGATCAAAATGATTTATCGAATTATTTAATCTAATAATTTTTTGATGTTTTTGTTACTTTCTTCATTGTTTATGTTTATGTAATTACATTATTTTTCCAATGTTTATGGTATGTTTCCAGTAATTATACTATAATTATTAAAAAAAAAAAAATTATGTGCATTTTAGATTGATAAATTGCTTAATGCTTTCTCTTTTATTCTAATATTTTTTATGATTTCTGATGCATATTTATGTTTCATACTTTTTAAATTTGAATTTAGTTGAATTTAGTTTGTCTTTTTTCAAAAGAATAAATTATCACAGAAAATTCCACTTAGTAGTCTGATTTGATGTTTTCTTCAGAAAAGTATTTCTGTCTGTAACTGTAATTCAGAACACTTTTTGGTTTTTTTTCCTGAGAAAAAAATTCATCTAATCTTAAATTTAAGAGTTACTCATTTACTTAAATTATTAAAATACTTTAAACAATAGGAATTTCATGGTTTTAATCTCATATCACTAAATTCTCGATATATCATATCAATGTAAAGCTGAAGTGTCACAACTTACTTTGACATTACTTAGAGTCATACTTCTTATCTTGTCGCAGTTGTTTGGCGCAGAATTTCATTAGGATGGAATTATCTGATTTAATCTTCATTATACCTTGTTTATTTTCTCTGTGTTTAATAGCAAACTTTAAGGTTGTTAAATTTCAAAAAAAAAAAAAAATTGTCAATGATAGATTGTAATTGTTTTTATTTTCATGAATTAAATTTTTTTTTGTTCCTTTTAAATCAAAGTTTTTTCATTTCATTGTTAACTTTTTCGATTTAGAATTGATAGAGTTTTAATCATTAAAAATTTTTTTTTTTCATTCCATTTTCTCCGATTCGTTTCTACTTTTTTCTTTTTTTTTTTTGTGTTGACTATTGTTTATGTTTTTGATGTGTTTTTGTTGATAATTGTTGATAAAATAAAGTAAAAAAGTACACCTCTAGAATAAATAAGCAAACTACTGGAATGGTACTGAAATAATTTCAGGTGTTGAAGTAATTTTAGGAAGACAATGCGTATAAATGATGTTAAATTGATGTGTGGAAAAAGAAATGGAGAAATTTACCGGAAAAAGAAATGAGGAAATGTTACCGGATGAAGAAATGAGGAAATTTCACCGCAACTGCAATGCTTTTTATCATCAAAAGAGATTAGCATAAGAAGCTCAAATTCAAAGTCAATAAAAAGTTATTCGGAATAATCGAGAAATCGTGAGACCGAGAAATATTCGGAATAATCGAGAAATCGAGAAATATTTATTCGGAATAATCGAAATCGAGAAATATTTATTCGGAATAATCGAGAAGTCGAGAAATACATTTTGATCACAAATATAGCATAAAACATTTTTCATGCAAATTTCAAAAATTATAGGGAAGGAAATAATAAATTCAATGTATTTTGATGCAAACTATCTTCCAATTACTACCAAATAAATATTTTTTCCTTTTTTTTTTACTGAGTTTGCATTATTTATTTATTATTATCTCTGATAGAAATGTCATAAGGGAAGCTAACAAATATAGCGATGAAGTCAGTAAGAACACTTAAATTTACCCTCGAATTTACCCTTAAATTTGTTTGTGTAAGTGAATTTGGTGGGTATATCCAATAAAAGTAGAATAATTAATTCTATGATTTTTTTAATTTAAATCAACATTTTTCATTTTAAAATTTATTTTCTTTCTTTCATATCTTTCATAATTTGCATTTTTTTTCTTATTTGTTTATTTGATGGATTATCTTCCAAATTCTGTGTCATCTTTTTGTTTTTTGATCTATTTCTCAGTTATTTCTTTTGTTTCAAATTTAAGGGTAAATAAACGAATATACAATAAATGAAATAAATAAAAATAAAAAATTTATTGACTTATTCAAATAGTTCAAAAATTTTAAATATAAATTGGAAAATAAAATTAATGAAATTTTATTTTGATTATAATTGAGAATATTTTAAAGAAGCATTCAATTCTATGAAATAATTATCTTTTATCAGTACAGGAAATTGAACTTATCAGTGTAGCATATCACAAAGGTTGACAAATAATCATTTGACATTATCAGAAGGAAAGGAAGGGCATGATTGATAAGTTTCAATGATCTGAAGTATTATTTCATGAAATATATTAATAAATAAGGTAGAAGAGAGAGAGAGAGAGGGAAAAAGAGAGAGAAAGAGGGAGAGATTTTGATGTTGAATAAAACAAACAAATTAATTAATCATCCTGAAGTATTATTTCATGAAATATATTCAATAAAATAAATAATAAATAAAATAGAGAGAGAGAGAGAGGGAAAAAGAGAGAGAAAGGGGGGGAGATTTTGATGTTGAATAAAACAAACAAATTGATTAATCATCAAAATGAAAAGACAACTTTAGAACTAAATAAATAAGAGAGAGAGAGAGAGAGAGAGAGAGAGATTTCGATATTGAATAAAACAAACAAATTGATTTAATCGTTGAAGAAAAAGGACAACTCTGTGATTATAATTTGTATTTTATAAATAAAATACGAGTAGTAGTGATAACAATAGTGATAAAAATGATATGGTGATAAAATGAGTGAAAACAGAAGAAAGAATTAGGAATGGAAGAGAAATGACATATCATTGTCTCATGCTTACAGGTATATAATTAAACAATATAAATTAATAATATGTTTACAAACAATCGATCATAGTTATAAATGAAGTTGAGAAGATACACAACTGAAATGATTAATAATAAATGGCAGAAAAAAAGAAAAGAGAAAAAGGACAAATTTATTTGGCACTGAATTAATTTAACATTTCAAAAAATAAAAAAATAAATAAATATCAACTATTGAAAATATCAACAAATTAGATTGGATTTGTTAGCAGAAGAAATTACTCATTTAAATTTGAAAAAATAAGTTAGTATAGGTAATGAGTAAATTTGCATAGATAGCATAGATTACAATGAATTCAAACATCAAAATTTTTTTTAAAAAAAAAAAAAAAAAAACTTACTCAGTTATCATTGTTACAAAAATGTTAAAATATTCGTTCATTTTTAAATAGAATACTTTTGAAAAAAAAAAAAATTTAAAGTTGCACTCTAATTTTGTTAAAATCGAATTTTTTGTTATTGACAGTTTGTAGTTTTAAATGTTAAAAAGTTTAATGAAATAATGAGAAAAACGAGCAGCACGAAAAGTTTATTTATCTTTGAAATTTAAAATTCTTGAATTGATTTATATTAATTGAACATGAATGAATGAATTGTTTATATTTTAGGTTGTTATAATTAAATTTATACTCATTTTCATATCTATTTTGATTATCATTTGTATCTAAATCATTGTTAACGATATTGAATAAATTAAAAAATGAATCATTCATCAATTTAAATTTAAATAAGATGATTTTTAGTTTAAAAAACATGGAAATAATTTTTAAAATCACTAAAATATTAGGTGTTGATCAAATCGATCCAATCAAAATATCTAAATCATATCTAATCGAAATGTATTGATCCTAACTTGTTTCATTTTCTCTATTTTCTATAGAAAAATACCTGATACCTGAAAAATACCTGAAAAATGATGTTTCCGGTAAATTTTTGCTTATTACTCTTATTTTCACTTTCTTTTCTACATTTCTTACTACGACCAATTTTTTTTCCAAAATTTTTTTTTAAAAAAAGTGGAATAAGATGAAATATGCAAAGTGCAATTCAGTAACACTAATTTTTGGAAAAAAAAAATTTGTCTAAAATTCTAGGTTAAACTAATTTGAAACTGAGTAAACATAAAAAAAAGAAACTGAGAAAAAAAGTAATTTGTAAAGTAGTAAGCAGTGTAAAAAGAAAATCAAAAATTCACAGAGAGAGTAAAAAAAAAAAAGTATACTCTAACTTTTGTAAACAAGAATGCCAATACAGATCAGATCAGATCAGATCATTTAGTTCATGATGATCAATTTTAGAGCCATTAGAAATCATAATTCTCGACGATGATCAAATAAATTATGCAAATCATCCATATACTAAATTATTAGCACAATTTTCTTGGGTAATAATTTAGGTAAATAATATTAAATAATTTTTACTTTGGCTGATGTATGCTTATTATTTAGATTTGAATTATTAGCAGAAATAATTTGGGTAACTAATATTAAATAATCTTTATTTTGGCTAATGTATTCTTATTTATAATTGAATTAGAATTAAGCCATCCGCTTCTAAGTTTTTTATAATTACTAAATAATAATATACTTTCATCTGTAATTGTTCCGCTATTTCAATTTTTTTTTCTAAATATTTTTTAAATATTTGATAAATTAAATTTTATGCTATAATACTTTCGGGTATATTTAATATTCATTATTACTTGCACAATACAATGCAGCTGGTAATGACGTGCATACCTTGCAGAAAGTATTTTTAACTTTTTTTTTTTTTTTTAAAGAATAATTTGAAATAAGCCAAATGATACTTATCAAACTTTTTTAGTTTATTTTTATGATAAACTGCCCAACCTCACATTTTGGGTATTTCTAACTGATAACTTTCTGATTCGTACATTTTATTTTATTGCTTTCTCTATATGCTCTCACTAATTAATGAATCCAATATTTCCAAAAAGGGCGCAAATGGAATGTCACAGATGAATGAAGTCGCAATACACGGATAATTGAGATTTCGTGTAGATTTATTCTGTTGCAGCTGCGATCGCAATAATGTTGATGAATATGGTATCGATTGATTGGGACAAATGGGGCGAGGCGGCTTTGGTACTAATTTCAAGCGTTGATTGCGCTTTACTACTACTTTTCAGTAAAGCCAAAACGATTTACGTAATGTATATCTGTTACATTTGCTACCGCACACTCTATCAAGTAATGATAACAATTGCGCAGTACGTTTTTTTCTTCTGTTTTTCAGGAAGATAAGTTAAATGCGTGGGCGCAAAAGTTGTTTCCCTTTTAGAATTCGACGTGAGGAAACTTTCGACAATCATAAATCAGTCACGACAACATATCTTATAATCATGATTACGTGTCATAATCGTAATTCAGCCACATGATTACGTGTCATAGCCGTAATTCAGCCACGTACATCTGCTAGTCATGACTACGTGTCATAACCGTAATTCGGTCACATATAACTTGTAATCGTAATTACGTGTCATCACCGTAATTCAGTCACGTATAACTTGTAATCGTGATCACGTGTCACAATGGTTCTCATAAATTGCCTCACGTTTTAGCACTGAAATGTGAAATGGGAAAACGCTTCTGTTTATGTGCTGAATGATTCATCGAATTGATGACTAACTGTGTGATCTAATTGTGATTATTTATTTATTTATGATATTGTGAATAGCTATAAATTAGTGATTATTAATACAGATGGAATTTGGCTAAAAAAATGGTTTGTGAAAGTTATGGCTTAATATTTGGTCTCAATTCATTTGTGGCACTTATCTTGCAAGCATTTTTAACTGCCATCGTTGTTGATAAACGTGGCTTTGGCATGACTGTTAGGTCACAGGTTACTTTATTTATTTAATTGTTTATTAAAAAATTAGTATTATTATTATTATTAATTATGTTATTCCAATTTAATGTTTATTTTTTAAATTAATTTTTTTAATTGTGATACTATAAATAATTTTTAACTGTCATTCAAACAAAGTTTACAATTTCAGTTTTTGGCATCTGTCATGCAGTAATTACTTTTATTTTGCTCTGTTCAATTGCACACAATTTAATGAATCATCGATTCAGTAACACACATTTTGTTGATTAAACTACTGATACTGTTAAAAAAAATAAACCTTCCAAGCAAGTCAATTTTATGGATAGAAATATGGATGACACTGCGAAGTAAGTAGTTTTAGATAATCAAACTTGATAAGAATGATAATCTGATATTAGTAATGCCAAAATGATTGCTTTATCTAATTTTTTATCCGTAAACGATGATAACAATAATAATAACAGCAATGATTATAATCTTAACGATTTAGTGATAATAATGATAATGATAATGACAATGATAATAACAATAATTGTATATGTGCAGTTGCAAGTGATTATAATAGTGCAATGAAAGTGATGATAAGAATAATCATGATAATGATAACACTGATATGTTTTTTTTTTCAAAAAATTTTTCTAATGCAGACACACTGATAAATTAATCATTTCTCTTCGGTTTGTTATCGAAATGTCGTCACTATCTTTTCAGTTTTTAATTTTGAAAATGAATTTCTGAATTAAGAAAAGAAAAAAGTTTTAAAGCTTTTTTTGTTTCTTATTAATTTCTTATTGTTATTTTACAAACCTCAAAAATTATTATTATTATTACTATGAAATTGTTTGTTTTGTTTTCTTTTTATTCACAATATTTATTAGCTATTATTTATATGAATTTGAAAGAAATACATCTTTTTGAACATATAAACAGTGTAAATTTAAAAATGTGTTATTGGAACAAACTTTTTCATTTTAAAATTGCTGCAAAAAATTTGAAACCTTAAATTTGTTGAAACTTTCAGCATAAATTCAATGTAAATGGTTCATTAAAATTTAACATGAAATTTTAAATCTTTAATTCGAAAAAAGGAGGAAAAAATGGTATCGTTAAGTATTATTAGGTACCATTAACATAGTACCAATCAATTAAATATTTAAATATTTCATTAAATAAAATATTTATTTGATTTTTTTCTTTGTTTGATAAAAAATGTGGCAAACGATTTTTACACATTTTTTGAAGATTTATGTACTTTAAACTCTAAGTTTACTTATTTCTGTATAACTTTTTAGAACAATTTCAAGTTTTTTCCCTTTTTTTTTCTTATAAATCAATTTATAAATTCTATTTTTATCATTTAAAAATGATTCTTTAAAAAAATATGTATTATTTAGAATATTAAAATTTTTATTTATTCAATTAGCATAAAATGGAATCAAAATGTTTTAATTAATTTTACTATTGTAATATTAGCGAAATAATCAAAATTTAAATCAAAATTACGCATAAATCATGGAGGAAGACAAAAAAGAAAAGAAAGAAAGTGAAATTAATGAAGTAAAACTTAAAAAAATTTTATTTCATTAAAAGATTGCTAACTATGAATTAATTACTTGTACGAGAGTTTAATTAATGTTTGTAGTTTAAAGCCTACATTCTGTTTTTTTTTTCTTTTTAAATTAGAAATTAATTTGTTCAAAATTACTCGAAATGAACTGTACAGCAATAAATCAATTTGTAAAAGTAAAGAAAAGAAAAAAGACGAAAAGCAATAAATTTTAGATCAAAAATTGTACAAATCAATGATTTGATTACATATCAAAAAAAAGTAATATTAAATTATAAAATTACAAGTGAAAAAGATATAAAATGCATTGTTAGCAATTGTTATTACTGCTATCATTATATTACTAATAGCAAATAAAAATTTATATAAGAAATCAAATATTGAAAAAAGGAAATGAAAAAAGAAAGGAAAAAAAAAAAGTATTTGAATAAGAAACTAAAAAATATATAATTTTGCTTTATCGTAAAATATTTCATTTTCCTCTTTTTTTTGCTTTTCTCAACTTTCTTTTCTTTTCTTTTTTTGAGTTCCTTTCTTATGACTTTAAAAAATTTTTTGAAATTTGTTATTATTGACTTTTCTTTTCTTTCTTTTTTTTTTGTTTGAACTATTTATTACTTGGCAAATAGTACGATTGATTGATAAAGAGGTGAAAAGTAAAATATTTCTTTAAATTATCTTTTCAATTCTCACCTTTCTTTTTTCTCATTGTTATCATTTGCTATTTTATTTCTCTTCATTTACTCTTCCTTACTTATACTTTTATTTTTTTTTTTTGATAAGCTAAAAATTAAAAGTTTTTTTTGAAAGCATAAATATGCCAAAGTATATTATAGCATTTATTGTTATTAAGAATAATAAATATTACTTTTTCTTGTTATTATTTTTTATTAGTAGAAAAAAGGAAATTTACTAACTTTGAAATTGAAAAAATTTATTTTAGAAAAATATTCAATGAAATTTATTTTGCTCTGATTAGATTGTTACATTATCATAAGAAATTGATAATACTTTTTAATGATTAATTTATCATTGACTATAATTAAGTAATTTTTTCTTCTGTAATATTAAATTTATAATTATTAACACATTGCTTTGCTTCTTTAATTTTATTCATTTAAATTTTGAAAAATTTCTTTTTTTTTTTTAAATTTTAAAATGTTCGTTACATCACTGATTTGTTTAATTTTAAACTATTGAGAGCTTGAAATTGATTAATTTACAAAATGTTGCAAAGTACTCAATTTCTAGTAACTTGTTTTGTACAAATTAAATATTTGTGAACAATTTGCTTTATTCATTCTTCTGATTGTAAGACTTTCATCTTCCTTTCTTTTTTTTTTTTTTTATTAATTCAAATTTAAAAATAATTTAATAAATAAATGAATGGTAATTTATTACAAAATATTTTTTCTTTTCCAGGTAAATTAATTAAACATTTTTAAATTCAAACATCAATTTTTTTTTTTTTGAATATAAAAAAAAAGGAATGTAAATTGTGTGTCAATCATTTTTCATTAATTTCATTTCATTTTTGTTGGTATACTCTTCAAGAAATATTATTTAACTTTTATAATAAGAACAAACAAATAAACAAATAAACAAGTAAACAAAAATCATTACTATCATTTATTTATCAGTTTTTTTTTTTTGGATAAATACTTTTCTTTTTATTTTATATATTAAATTATATCCTTTTCAATTATTTCACCTATGATGATGAATCATAAATGATTTTCACATGTGTTTAACAAATATTTGATTAATTTTAATTAATTCTATCTTTCATTCCTATCCATTAAAGCGTGTGAATAATTTGCCTAAATAAATTCATTTATTTTTATCTCAAAAAATTATTTAAATTTATGCTTGTATAATGTTTATTTATTGAAATGAAAAATGTTTGCTTATAATACATAAATATATATACGAAAATTAAAAAATTAGATGTAATTTTATAATTTAAAAAAAAAAAATTTTTTTTTTGAAATATTAATTTATTCTTCTTTATTTGATGTTAATTTTAGAATGTACACAATTTTTAAATAAATTTTTATTACTATCGTTTCGAAAATTTCTTTAACCTATTTTATGTTTTCTTTCAATGATGCATTTATTGATTATTTATCATTTAATAGTTTATTTTTATTATTTGCTATTAGTTGTAGTAATATTATTTTAGAAACATATAAATATATCATAAATCCACGTAGATACGTATAAATATATCATAAATCCACGTATTACGTCTAGTATAACATGTGTTACGTGAATAATATACGTAGTAAAATATACGTAAGTACATTGCTCATAAATTTTTTTCTTTTTTTTTTCGTTTAAAATTAATAAAGAAAAACTTTCAGGAATTAAAATAACATTGCAAGGAAGGATGACGTGGAGTATAGTTCCTATATTATTAGTATTATATGGATTTTTTAAGGATTTCAAACCTGGTGAACCATTTTTATTCAAATATCAAACTGATTTTTTAAATCTAACCGAAAAACAACTCAATGGTGAAGTATGTAATTATTGATTTTTTTTTCTAGTACAATAAAATATGCAATGATAGAATTTTTGTAAGTAATTAAGTAACGGATATTATTTGATCAGAAATAACTAATTGTTTCATTGATCAGCAATAAATGATCGTTTCCATTAAATAAAGTTCAACGGATGTTTTTTAAATAATATTTTTTGAAATGATGTGACATTTTTTTTTTCATCATCGTTCAATTATGTAATGTACAATTTGAAAGTGCAAAAAGAGTAAAAATAAAATCAGGTAAACAAATATTTGAAAGATTAATTTCAAATTTAACAATTACCAAAAAAAAAAAAAAAAAAAGGAAAAGAAAAAAAGTTTGAATAATAATAATAACAATACTAACCTGATTCATAATTACTGGTTTAGATTACAAAATTAGTTTAAAAGATTGAACTTGTTTACTCATTAATTAATTAATTAATTTATATTTATTGGCTTAATTCAATTAGCCATTTTATACAGTTACACTTAAGTGCATTATAAAATTAATTTTAGATTTATCCATATTGGACATACAGTTATTTGATTACTCTTATTCCAATCTTTTTATTAACTGATTTACTCCTTTACAAACCTATTTTAATTTTAGAAAGTATTGGTTATATGGTTTTCAGGTATTCCTTTTTTTTTTTTTTATTAAATAATATAATCAAAAACTTATTGTAACATATCCTTGTATCAATGCATTCTTTTTTTCTTGTAAATTTAAACATTATTTTTTGGTAAAAAAAAATTTAAACAATTTAAAACTTACCTAATATTCATCTCAGTTAGAATATTATAAATAAATTATAAATGCAATTAAAAGAACTCCAAAAAAAAAAAAAAATTTGATTTCAGTTAAGATATGTTTTAAAAAAATTTTTTTAATTGAAATTTAATTATAGCAATAAATTATTTGCAAAATATTATAAT